ATTGGGCCAGCTTCTTGCACGGGAGTGTGCAGTATTGTATTTGGTATAAGGTAGCACACACTGTATCTTACACAAGAATGGCCAGGCTACGGGCAGGCAAAGTGTTTTATCATCCCCGATGTGCTTGCAGTCATTTTTCATTTCCGTTTCCAAGGATTTCTAGTACACCTGTATGTCCTGAACCTACATTTTAAAAGCTGATGATCAATTTCCTTTTTTTCCCTTGCATTTTCGGGCAACTCCTGCAGTATTGCCTTGAAAGGAACTTGGAACAAGGATGAAGAGAAAATAAGCATTTGTGCGTTGAGTTTTGCTGACTTTAGCTGATCTCAAACCTCATCCAAGTCCCTTGCTGGAAATCAGAATGCTGGGTGAAATTTTGGGGAATTGACTTAAACATTCCAGTTATAAGGGGAAAATCATAAAATGGCAATCATTTCATTGTAAGTTTTTTTCTAAAGGGCTCTGTACAAGTAATGCTATGGGAAATGATTAGAATATATTGCTAAAGGTGCTTCTAGGTTAGTTCCAGATGAGACTGGAATACTAAACAGTCCTTCAAGAACTAACACATTTACTTTGCCACACATTCAATGCAATTGTAAAATATCTATGTCTTTTAGTTTTATCTTAATAGAGTGAAGTTTAAGGATGAAATTATCTCTGAAACTCCATGTTACATTTCCAAAGCAGCTTATTTAAGGGAACTGTAAGCATAGCTGTTTTCAAATGGTTAGTCTTTAAATGTTTCTTATTAGTGAGAATACATAGTGGGAGAACTTTTGACTATTTTAACTAGTCAAATTTGTTCTGTTTTGGCATTATTTGTGTTTTCAATTCATTAGAAAAATGCCACTGCAAATAATTTCTTTGGCTTAGAAAAACAGGGCTCGTGTGTACAAATACTGACTTAGACAATTTCATGAAAACATTTTATTTTAAAAAGCTCATGAATAGTGAATGTTCAGAAAACAAATAGTTGGTCTCATAAGTACAGCAGAAACTTAGAAAAATATTAGAGACATTTTGCTCAACATCGAGAAAAAATATGTTTAAATAATAATGCTGCAAAATGCATTTTTCTTGGAATGTATGTGACTGGTTAACAGATAAAATACCACACAATAGAAACCTGTGAAGAACAACGCTAGCAGTGTCTAGCAATTAAGGAGCAAATAGGAGTTTGCATTTGAATTCATTTGAATAAACATGACTGTCTCCCCTTTATGTATTTATTTTATTTGTTTGGTTTCCAGGAGTGATGCCATAACAGTGAGCACAATCATCTCATACACAAAGCATAAAGAACAATCCGCACTTAGCAGCTTCTCATTTGGGAAATAGCTTTTGTTCACACAAATGTCTGTTTCTGTTCTGTTCACGTGTTTTCTGCAGGAGAGTGAGAAAATAACGTTTGCAACTCTAAACTATATTTATCCTTTTTAAAAAGTGAAACTTATACTGATCATCTTCTTTCTTGTGTCACAGTATTATTTCATAAGCAATTGCACAGTACATGTACTACAATATGATGTATTGGAAGATCCAGTGTAAATGTCTGTTTCTAGTTCTGAAGATTAAAAACAGTCCTGTTTTTTGCCACTCTTCACTATGATGCTGAAAAAAGACATTGCCCACAACGATAATTCACATGGACCTTGTCAAAAAATCGCCAAAATGAAGTCTGAAGTTTCATCAATAATTTATTGGAGTCTGTTGATGAAATGCTTCATTTTGCTTACAGTAGAGACAGAAACACTTGAAAAAATTTGTGTATGCGGGGAAGAAATAAAGACTCAAACAGGGAAAAAAAAAAGAGTCTGTCGTATAATTTAATGATCTGACTGAGATGTTTCTCATTTTAGGTTTTCTAACAAATTTGCAGTGCATACCACAATTAAGAATAATGGATGCTTTACATGCCTCCAGATACCTGCAGTGCAATATCTTGTCTGTTGTCGTTTTGGCCTGTTAAAAAATTGAAAGTATTTATTTTAGTTGCTGGAGTGAATGCGACTGTAATTGTCTATAATTCAAACCAGATTCATGTTACCTTGTTTTTCTTCAGAGTGGGGTAGAAATATTAACATCCAACACAAAAGTTCCTCCCAGCAACTGATCTGGTCTGGATTTGCCACTTTTAGGGACAGATGGCAAGCAGTGAGAGGCCAAGTGGAAAATATCAAGCATTTGTACAAGTGAATAGTGTTGTGTAGCATTAAGGCAATGTAGCAATTAAGGTACTTTCCTTTTAATGATACAGTAGTTAACAAAGAGAGAAATACTGTGTTATTTTTCTTTGTTAGAATGTGAGATTTATTTAATGTGTATATTTCTATATTCTTAATTTCAATTTGAGACTTTTTTTCTGGGGACTAGAAACATTAATTATATGTTGCAAAGAGGGCATTGATATTGACAGAATTATGTCTGTTTTGTTTCAGTTTGATTTGCTGGTTACTAGAAGGATCAGTTTATATAATTGTGGCAAAATAATACTCTTTTAATTATTTAGTCATTTGTTCATTTAAATATATTAGATAAATGTCATGCTGGCCATCTCTTCATGGTAAGTACCCTCCCAGCACCCAGAAAGAAAAAACAGAGTCTTTTGTTTGAATTATTCCACCAAATACAAAAAAAAACTGGCATCAAAACCTAGTTTGTAATTAGGAATTGTGTAGTAGGAGGACTTTTTTAATGTTTTTGTTTACGGGGTGCAGTAAGAATACAGGAGAATATTAATATAGAAAATACAAAAAAGTTATCAATTAAAAGTTATTGTTTTAAAGTGATCAATTTTAGTTTTAAACCCCTGTGTGGTTTAAGAAATTGTAGATATAGTTGTAAACTTACATGCTAGATATGTGGTTGATAAAAATTGTGGTTAACTTAATTTAGTCATTGATGACTTTTTTTAACTTGATTTTTAACTTAGTTTTAAATCACTGGCTCATACTGTCTGCAAGCACAACCAGCTACTGAGTGTGATCCGGTGTCAAGCAGAGTTTTCAGATTCTGGTGAGGCTGACAAGGCCTCAGTCAGGTCTAATATGGTTTCACTGCAATCTGTGTACATACTGTTTCTAACAAACATACAGTAGTTACCTTGCACCATAGTTACATTGTGCTGTTATATAGATGCTAACCTGCATGAGAAAAAGGCTTAGAATAGGTGGAAAGGTAGGAAAGTATTGTTTTTACTATGTGCTATATTTATAAAAACCTTACCTGCTGGTTTTGATTTTGTGTTCAGAACGTACATACACAGTGATCATCTTCTCTGTCACTTTACTCTCCATAAAAAACAATAATCCAGTACATTAACATACTGAAGTCATTTAGCTGCAGATTTATAATATACTATACAAGTATAATATTGTATGCAACGTTCACATCTAAGCATTTGCTTTTTAATGCCCTGCAATTAGCATAGACATTATTCAGTTGGAATAGTAAAAGGATGGTGAGATTTTTTTCCCATATTGCTATTTGGATGTGTGTGCTAGTGTCAAAACCTCACTTAAAGTACAGTAAGGCAATTTCTGTAACACCCCCAAAATGTTTAGCATCCCTCATATGATTAAATACAATACAAGCTGTCTCGTGTATAATAAATGCTACAGTGCAGAGTATAAGAGCAACGGTTTTTAGCCCTGCTCTAGTTTCTCTGCACTGCACTTGTCTGCTGTGAGTAATAATATTGACAGTGACCAGACCAGTGTCTGCCACTGACCACAATGCTTGCCTGTGCCATGGCTCTTGCTGGCAAGCAAGTCTTTTCTTCCTGCTGTGAACGCTTTTGAACATAAGTTGTGAATAATTTGTTTTTTTGATTAATGTTCCTACAAGACAAACGGTGGGTCATGTTTTATAAATCAATGGTGGCAAAAGGCTTTAACTTCCTGTGTATGTTTTTTTGGTTTTGTTTTTAAGCCATAAATGTTCCATCTCATTGTCTTAGAAATAATAACTATGGAAAACACATTATGAACCAAAATAAACGCAAGCATTAGTATGAAACAATACAACGTATGAAACGTCACAAATTACCAGAGTATGACATTTTTATTCACCATATAGTTAAAGTCTATAAATACAGATTTTTTACGAAAATTGTACATTGTACACAGTGCTGAATATGTCCTCTTCATGTGCAATCCGATTCACCAGTGTACAAAAAAAGACTGCTGTGATTCTGTGATTCAAACATCTGACTTTACCACATGGAATAAGTGTCAGGTTTTCCAACATCCTGTTTTGGCTTATGATGCCTTTGGAGAAAGAATTAACTCGGATCAGATAAAATGGCATTAATTCAATCCTGTCACTTTTCAGTCATGTGACAATTCACAAGGTCGAGCTACAGCAAAATAAGAAATTTCGATTAGTGTATTAAGTATGGCTTTCTTATCTTGGGCTACGTCAAAAGACCCAATCCTTAAACCCTATTAACTTTCAGGGTAATATGATTGATGTACTCAATGAAATGAATTGGTCATGTAAGAATTATTTACAGAATGCCAAAAAATACTCAAGGCATTAGGGTTAGATTTACATAGGTTTCAGTGGTGCAGAGCATTTTATCTTTCAAAAATTGCAAATGATTGTTTAACAGATCAGGCCCTGTATTCAAACAATTAGGCCTGTATATCCCTATAGAAAGCACAGGAAATGTAAGCATATTTCAGATGTTGCTTTTTTGTTTTTAGAAGTCACCGTTCAGGAAGCTGCATTCCTTTAAAAAAAAACATTTGCACATTCTGTATCAAAGAAAATATGCTTAAAAAAATGAAGGTATCTGTTTTTACATTTAAATATACATTAATTTAATACATTTACATTGAAATATAGGTTCAACACCAGTAGCATAAGCGAGGCAAGCTATTTAAATTTCCTGCATGATTTTCCACAGTAGAAAATTGCCATTGGATCTGTTTTTCCTACTGTCTCACACACTTGCTCCCTCTCTTTCTCCCTCTTTTATTTTGTGTTATTAGTTTGAAAGCCCTTAGTCTCCAGGTGGCAGAGAGACAAACACAACTGGAGTGTGTGACCACTGATATGAGCGTCGCAAAGAGAAAGCTGGAAGAAGCGGAGAGCCAGTGCCAAGCGCTCAGGTAAGGAAATGAGAAAACAATACGCTGACAGCGCTGGCAGGGGGAAAAATGAAAAGCGGCTCTTATACAATCTGTTCCTGGGCGGTTGGATGGCGTGATGCATTAGCAGTGTTTGGTGCTCCCAATAAAAATGAAAAGACGGCACGACAGGAAGGAGGCAGCAGATGTGAAACAACTGCTGGGAGCCCTTGGAAAAAAAAGAAAAGAGACCGGCTGATAGGACAGGACCCTGTGAGCCTTGCAGGGTTTTGTCTACCAAAAAAGGAAGCACAAGAACTGGAGAGCTTAAGTTGAAGGTTAGTCACAAAATTAGAAGTCAGATGAAACACTATCCTTAAAAAAAAAAAACTTTTCAGTGTTCCCTTTGCTACATCAGCTTCCCTGTTTAGGGTGTCTTTCTTCCCCTGGGAGGGGGAGGGGGCTGTTAATTTCAGTTTTAAACGAAAATCAGAGCTCCAGGGAAGGCCATGTGCTTCTCAAGATGTCAAGGAGCAACTTCAGTTCAAAAGATAGATTAATTAATGTCATGTCCTACAGCTGCTGGGTCTAAGTCTGTATTAATTTCCATAAAGCTTTTAACTTTGTTAAGGGTCCTCAGATAAGGGATTTGGTTTTTGTACAATGTCTTCCTCTTATGTTTACCTGATAAATTATGAAACTTGAAATCTCAAAGTACATTATCTGATCTAGTAAACAAATTACAATAATGTCCCCTGAAGTGTGAAAAACGTATTGCAGTATGTAAGCTGGCCATGGATTTTGAAATCGGAGACAAAAATAACATTTTGGTCTAGTTGATGTGGAAATTAATTTTTATAGACCTTTTCTGAACTGCCTTTTCTAGGGCATGAACTGAGTGGTATCAAACGCACCGAAGACATAGGAGAGGGAGTTCAGGTTTTCGATTTTTCTTAGACCTCCTGACCCACTAGAATGTCTTTCTTGGCAGTAAAGTTGTGCATGGGTTAAAATTTGCTGTGAATCTTCGTCCTGGCGCAGAACTCCGGCTGTGCTAAGAGGCAGAGTTACCTCTTCTCAGAATATGTATCTGATGCTGTAGATGGGTATGATTGATTATGTCAACAGTCTTTGCAATAAAAATATTTCTGTGTACCTTGTAGCCTGGAGGATCACAGTATTGTTATTATAGAATTCTCTTCAAGGTTCTGAATCCTGTTGACAGATGTAGCTGATTTTACCTCACTGTTTCTTTGTCAGATATGGTGATTTATGAAGCCTGACATTTAAAACCCGCTTTCATAAATATGCCATCTTATTCACATCCTTGGCTTGTGGGTTGTACTTTAATCACTTGACTGTTGAAAGCGCTGTAGCATCCACCTTGGAGCACGTCTGTAAAGTGACTTACATTCAGTACCTCAGCTCCGAGCCTATCTTGACAAGGAGCTGTTTTGTAGTCATGCTTCGCTTCAGGCTCAGAATATTTTTACTTTCAACCAGGAGAACAACAACAGTAAAGAAAATCCATTTAGTGTTTATTTCCATAATTTGATCAACATAATTAGGAAAAAATATTAAACTTTTAATAACTACTTGTATTTAACAAATTATGCAAACAACCTAAAGAAGAAACATATGTTCTACTTTAGTCTTTAGTTTGCAGACTAATTCTAAATTTTCCTTAGGTGCTCAGGTTAGAAGAGCTATTCATCTGTAGTTTATCTAGGTTTTTATCACTAACTCTAGGATGGCTGGGAAAAATGTTCTAAAAACTACACAGCTCATTATCTGCCTTAGATAGACTATAGTTAAACCCTTCAAGTACATCAGGGAACTTAAAAGAATTGCTTGCAGTTACTCCAAAGCTAATATCAAGAGAGTACATTCTCTTTCTGAACTTTTTTCTCTGCACATGCATGCTTTTTGATGTTTGTTTCAAGGCATGATTGTAGGCTTAGCATAGAAAAAACACAAAATGTTTGATTTGTTTTTTTTGGTAGAAATCTGTTTTCCTCGTATGGTGTACAGAAATGTTGAGGTGTGGATGAATCTGCGATCTGCGTTATTCATCAGACACTTTCACTGTATTTGGCTTAATCTGGAGTGATTGTTTACCCCAGAGTAGTCTGTGAGATATGTGCTAGAATCAGATGAAAAATGGATTATCTGTGATGGCTGGAGTAATTGGTATCATGCTTTGTGTGTCGGTACGTCTGGTTTCACTTTCTTTGTGCATTCTTAATGGGATGAAAATGGATTTTGTTCCATTTACCGCTTACATTCATGTGTCTGTTATTTTGTTACATAATGCTGCAAGACAGATTGTATTTTACATGATATTTTTGGTTACCATAGTCCCGTCTTTATTTATACTAAAAACACTGAAAATGTCTGGTGAGTACGATACAGAATCCCTTTTAACCTCAGTGGTTTTAAGGGTACTGAAAATGTACTTTTATTTTTTTAATTTGTTCAATTTTTTGTGGCTTTGTGTTCATTCTTTTTAATTTGGTTGAGAGACGGCAGAGCGTTCTGAGGGTGAACTTTTTTAAAGGACAGATTGTACAAGCTTAATGTTGGGCTGCTGAATCACAAAATGTGTAGAGCCCCAACTCATGAGCAAACCTGAGCGCTTTCATTTACTTTTGATATTTTGTATAAAAGGACATTTTACCACGTTAACTCACTCCGACTCCTTTCTGTTTTTAGCTTCTAACAGTGAAGTGGTCAGGAAATGATTGAACGTATCTCATATATTGAAATAGATGTGTGTTGCGATTAATTTTCAAATGCCATGTGTATTTTACAGTAGATCCCCTGCTTATGGGTGTACTGTGGGTTTTCCAGGTCAAAATGTTACCAACAGCACTCTGTCATGAAGAAGACTCTGTATTTACTCCAGACAGCTAAACAGGAGTTAATGACGCTGAGGAGCATTGTTTCTGATTTCTCTGACATCTGGAGAGGATTTAACACAGAGCTGCTAAAGAGAAGCAAGGATACAGATACAGGTACACTGTATTATTTCGCCACTGTATGCCTACCTGTAATACAGATTTTCACGTATTTATATTTTTTTACAGATCAAGTGCATTTTAATATAATGTTGTATAATCATCTGGCCCTTTGCATGCTACTGTTTCTGTTTACCAAAGTTTCCTTTGGCAGTATCCTGGAAAATTCACAGTTCATGTTTGCCTTTTGTTTTCTTTGATGATTTACTGCACTTTCCTGTCCAGCACCACCTGCCTCTCGTTCTGTAGTGTGTGGGGGTAACGGCTGTTCAACAGAAGGTAAACAGCAGACATTGAGCAGAATAAGCAAAAAAATAATAATTGGAAAATAATGTAGTCATTCAGAGGAGGTGAATGTGCACAACATTTTTTAAGAACAAGAGTTACTGGAAGCGAAACAGAGTCACAAAAATGTCATTTGCTCATTAAACAATGATGCAAAATAAATCATTTGAATGTTTTTCTACAGGAACAGTGCATCTTAACGTTCCTTAAACAGATGTGGACACGGAGCATAATATTAAGCTTACTTTTACGGTGTTCACAAACACTTGATATTAATTATGAGATATTTGTTTTCATATGTGCTGAAACTGAGCTGCCTTTGCTACATGATCTTGCAGTTTATATTTGGAAATCAGGCAGGTTTGTCAAGTCCTCAGGTTGTTTGGATATTAACGAGTCCTTATGGACCTCCTGTCATGAGTTGAGACCCCCTCGGGGGAGATTAGATCCCAGGATTGGAGATATTGAAATAGGCATCAAATCCTTTCACGCTATCCCGAGCAGCAATGGGTATTTTTTTTTCCGAATTTCTTCATTACGTCTTTGACGAGAAAACTCACTCTGTGATAAGCTTGCTGTTCCCCTTGGAATTGGAATCTGATAAGGCCATAGCAAGGGAACTAAAATTGCTGTAGCGCTCAAAACAAGCTGCCTATCTATAAATAAAAACATTGCAAGCATTTGTATTGTTATTTTTGTTTAAAAAAAATAGGTTCTTATTAAAATCAGACAAATATCTGTAGGGATATCACGATTCACCCCAGGCTCACCCCATAGGGTGTGGCTGTTTTCATGGCAAGGAAGAGCCTGTGAATTTTATGCGGCGGCTTTTTTCTCCCTCTTTGTCTTCCTGCATTCTGTGGGCTGCAGTTCAGTGCCTAAAGATGCGTGCCAAAGGTGAAAAAAAACTCGGAGCAATTCACCTGAACACGTGAAAGCATTTGCTCTGTTTTAAAATCTTTATCTCACATCTTATCAGGCAAACAGTGTTTAATACTCACACAGAACTGGTGATTTTTTTTTTACCAGTCCTTTTTTAATGAACACTCGAGGCGGCTACGTCTGCGCCAACGTCATAAAAAAGCCACTGATGCCAGTAACCGAAAGCAGTGTGACTCGTTATAGTTAAAGGCCAGGCTAGGATTCTGTGTTAACCTTTAGGTGCGCAATTATGAACTACCTGTCTTTCAGCTTTTGTGGTTTCAGTGAAAAAAGAAAGCTATGAATCACTCTGGTAGGCTGGTTACAGAACAGCAACAGCTGGTTTCTTTACCTTAATTATGCACATCAGTTATCAAATATGCTGACAGACATGTTGAGACCTCACCAACAGCAGCAATCTGATGCTCTGTCAGGGTGCCAGGATGCATGAAACTTGATGCCTCTTTGATATGTTATTGAAGCCTGGGAAGGCACAGTGCAGTAGACTACACCAAGGAAAGGGTTATTTCATGTATGTTCAGAGGTGCTTTTAATAAACTAGTGATTATATTAGCTAAAAAGTACAGTTCTATGTCTGTTACCTGTGCAGAATAAGTTGCCAGTGACCATGACTGAAGATCACATCTCAGTGAAAAAAGGCTTCTCCATTTCCACTGGAGAGAGTTGTTCTTCCAGCCAGCCCCATGTCAAATGCGTTACATTTAAAACAGCATTCAAAACTAAAATCTACAAAGGAACAAAGAGAGGTCAATCCCACCCTGTAAATCTGGTGGAAAATATTCTCTGTGTGTTGCACTGGCCTGTAATCACCCTCTCCTGTGAATTCAAAGCCTACTTTAGGAAAGCAGTATTTTCTGTGAAATCACAAATATGTAAATTGGTACTATTTTTGTTCCGTAGTTTCTGTAAGGTGCGTGCTTCACAAACAATTCCATAGTCACGCTATTAAAAGCATGCGGTATGACCCTTTCTTGAACTGGCGCCATTTTATTTTTACGTGTTGTACATGACAAAATGTCATAACTAAAAGGGCAGAATAATCTGATGAAACTTAACTTCATAAGGACGAATGACATTCAAGCAACAGAATGTTTTGTGAGTATTGACTGTATTTTAAGTTTTGGCTAAACCCACTCGGTTAAGGGGCAGCCCCCTGGCCGTAAGACGAGGAGGCTAGGACACCCATTCAGAGAGGGGAGTTACCCGAGGGGCAGCTGCTAAGGTGGAGGTAGGGTGGGGGAGGGATGCATGCAACAAAAATGCAAAAAGAGGCGTTTGCGTGAGATCTACACAGTATATAACGAAAGTCAGTAATGTTTATGATTTGAAACAGCTGGATGAAATTGGCTCTGTCTGCCTTTATTCCTCCTGAACTTCAGTTAAGAACTTCCACTTGGAGTTCCTAGATTTCTCTCTTTTCTTTGATAGAACCCGATATTGCTTTCACGGAAGACCTAGAGACAACAGGTGTGCTCTGCCACGTTACATCCATGTCTCAGCATTTCAAAATTTATATAAGGTCCATTTTGTTATGTTATGGTTGTTGTAACCAATTATGGTTGTGATGATACTTACACATTAAAAAAATGTTTAAAAAACAATAGTTAACAATAAGTGTGGAAGCTGTAAGGATTTACAATAAAGACTTCTCCATCTGCATAAAAGGCACAAGCTTGACCTCACCAGTTGCTATGCTAATTGCTAGTTATTTGAGGATGACGTTTAAGATGGATTTTTGTTTTAACAAAGCACTTGGGCCCTTTATTCCAGACATAACCACGCTGCAGGAGGCTGTGGCCGCAGCTCGACAGGAGACAGAGCAACTGCAGAAACAGGTCAAGGATCTGCAGAGTGACCTGGCCTCGTCCACATCGCAGCGTCATCAGCTTCAAGCCACCGCCCAGAGAGAGGCCGAACTGCAAACAGAAATGCTTGGTATGCAACGTAATGTGTGAATCATAGGTACTGCTCTGGTACACCTTGTCCAGCATTGGAAAAACATGAGTTTTGATCGAGTGTGAGAGAGTCAGTGAAGTGTCACCTGGTGCAATGAGAGGCCGTAATCAATGTCCATGTGCTGCAAACACATGTTGTTAAGGGGCGGATTGGTACTTCTCGCCGCACTTTACAAAACGTATCTGTAGCTACCAAGGTGAAATCGCCCCCCTTTCTGTGTATGTTCACCATTAATAACCATGACTTGAATAGCGTTTTTGCTTGGTCAACAAATCAAGTTATTGACATTGCCTTAGAAGCATTGTAAAATTGACCTGTGTTTTCTGCCACAGCAATGGATTTTGTAAAATTGTAGATTTTTAAACAAACTTTTTTTTAGATGTTTTTTCTCATGTGTACTTTTGAATAGATGTTTAAGGGAAGCTTACAATTCCCTTTAATTTATGTACTAACGTTTGTAAAAGTTCTTATGCCTAACATTTAAAACTGACAGGCGGAGGCAAATTCAGAAAACAGTAACAATTCTCAAACCTTTTTTTAAGTGTTATTCAAATTTCTAGGAATAGTAGAAAGACAAAACTGTCTGTATAACTCATGAGTCATATGAGCAATTTTTTTTTGTCGGTCGAGCTTCCATTGTATTGAATGCACCCCATGATTTCCAGAATGAGCATATAATGAACTGAGTAAAACTGACTCATTTTTTATGTAACTACAGTATTATGGCTGTCACGTTTCATCTAAGACATAGGAGAACAAACACTTTCTATGGGCATCAGCATGACTTGTGTGATGAGATTTTTTTTCAAGTTGTCTCATTAATCATAATGAGTTTTGTCAGAGACATGGCTGGAATAGTGTGGGTTTATGAAGAGGTCCGTACAGTAAGGAGATCAAGAACTGATCAAGGACAGAAAAGTTAAGCACAGTTAACGACAATGTATGTCCGCTATACTGTGATAATTTTTGCAGTAGTTCAGAGTGCCAGTCAGACCACACTTATTAAGTGAGCTAAAATGTTCCCTGGTAAATCTGTTAAGTGCACTGACTCCTGAGATATACTGAGAATTGCAATTCAGTAATGTTTTTTAAAAATGGAAAAAGAGTGCTGTCATACCTGGGTAAAAATGCTATTCAATTAATTGAACAAGTGTAGACTTGCTCATGTTACATAAACATAGCTTAACAAAGAGTGGAGAGATAAAGGATCTCGATTTTCAAAGTCAATTGCCTATAGCTTTATATCTCCTCCAACTTTCTGAAAGGACCACAATGACCGGAAAGCAATTATCAGTATATTGCTTCACAAAAACACTCTGAAGTATTCTGCTTCCTCTTAAAAGAAATGTCAGGGTGACACACACTGCAACAAAGAGCATTTTACAAAAAGTATGAACACTTAAGAACTCACATGAAAAGTGAAGGCAGAAACTTAAGTGAATTAAATAAGTCACTTGAAAAACTGAATGCCAAGAACACGAAGATATTTCTGGCATCTTTGTTTGGATGTAACCAAACAACATGAAAATTCGGAAGACCGGACTGCCTCTTCCATGCATCTTTACTGCAACATAATCCTTAGAAACCAAGTTATACAAACGTCATGGTCTTAGCTTGCAGAACTCTGTAAGAAGATGTAGAGATAGCATACACCACACAGAAAAGAGCTAAAGTTGAGAAAACCTTACAAAACCTTACATATACTTTAATAACTATGGTTATTTAGCCTTATTTTTGTTAAGGAGAAATTATTGAAAGAGCAGAATGAAATAACATGCTAGTTGTGCCTATTGACCATCTTGAGCTGTCCTTAAAATGGAGAACACAAACCAACTTTTTGTAGCCCCAGTGCTATTACGGTACTCATCTACAAAAAAACAGTTAAATTCCGAGCATGTTATTGTTTTTGCCTTTAAAAACATTAAAGGTCTTGTTTATCATAAGTTATTCTCTTAGAAAGCAATTACATCATTGTATCCTGGCTTATCTTGGAGTGGTTCCATTTGCTAGCTCTCACAGCTGCTTGATATTTTCAGCCACCTGGTTCAAAAGCAAATTATTTGAGGGTCAGGACGTCTTGCTCCAGTGCCATTCCAATAGACATTAGCAGTCCAGGGGACTCTGTCGACAAGGATACTTTCAGGGAATGTTTTTTATGGTACAGTGCAGAAACTCTGTAGCGTGTTCAGAGACTTAAGGTTCTTCGTGAGTTCCTGCAGGAAATAACAGCCTTCCTCTTTTTATGCAGTTTACAGACTGGGCCACAATATTGCGAATAAGAAATTCCTGTCTTCTGCATACTATTATTAAAACTGTCAGTGCAAATCTGAAAACATCCATAAAGACAATAATTTTCTCTAGTCAGAAAAAAAATGGGCTTCCTTTAAAGTATTTTTGTCGTAATATGCTACAGGCACTGAAAAATAAGTTTAGAAGGCACTATTTTACAGAAGCTATACAAATAAGCACAGGGTGAAGTGTTCCTATAAATCTAACATTTGTCTCCAGAAAATGTGCCATATAATTCATATCTGTAAAAACTGCTAACAGATTAGAGCTGAACAATGTGATCTCCAAAAACTTACGCTTCTTGAAATGCAGTGAGTAGGAGGTAACATTTGCAACATGTGAGGTGCATGTTGGGACTCATCGTAGCGCCATCAGGTGAGTCAGGGTGACCACTCCCTGGCCCTCTCCACAGAGAGCAGTCAAACGCAGAACGGGTCCAGCTGGAAACACAGCACAGACGCATGTGCTGGGAGCGCCAGGCTGCGTTCGCTTATGAAGAAAGACTTCCAGAAAAGCAAGAAAAATTCCCAGCACGCCCATGAGACCTGCGACATTTCCCTGCTGTAACAAAAAAAAAAACATTCAGTATGCATATTTTTTTAGACCACACCTGCAAGCTGCCATTCATCCATTTCATAAATGTGCAGAATGGTATATTTTCAAAAGGTAAAGTTTGGCGATATCAGCTGAGAATATAAGCTTTTACTTGACTGCTTCCAGAAACTGTACCTGACTCTTTAGTTTTTATCTTGAATGGCTGCACTTTCCCTAATCTGTCCCTGACATAGCGGACTTCAGTGATGAGTAACATGCAGTTTAGGCCTTCTGTATTATTCACAATAACTCAACTGTCTTTCTTCCTAGTCTGCCAAGGAGAGCCAAAGTTTCATGAGTTTGCAACAGTTTGCAACTGATAACAACAGGCTATTTTATTTTATCTCGCTCTTCTGGCATCAGTTAGAAAATAAATAAGGCTTGTAGTATTTCAGTATTTTACAGGCGGTGAAAGGTTTTAAGGTCTTTAACATTTAATCATTTGATTTGTCTCTAAAAGGCCAAGCTTACCTCATTTTCTTTTCTGTTGATTTTTTTGCCTGACATGGCACATGTGAGAGTCTGAAAGAAACTGTTTCTCATGACGTTCACAGCATGCAAGTGACATATTTTACTGACATCCTCCGTCGTTATATTGGTACAAACAAATGCGTCTTGTAGTTAAGGATATCTCATTAGCAAAACAATGATAAACAGCTTTCAGAAATCATGGACATTAATGTTTCAAAGTGACTGGGTTGCTATTTATTCACTTTGAGCAGTTGAGACACTCCAAGCGTTTTAAGGATTCTCTTATCCTCTGTGCTGTGTGGATGGAGCAAATTTAACAT